TTCTTTTTTTTTTTTTTTTTGAGAGGTTTTTGCTATAGGGCGCATGCGATCACCAGAAAGAGAGAGACAGAAATCAAGAAATCATCCCCCGGGGGCATGGCCACGCCGCAATCCCTTCTCCTCCGTTCTCCTCTCGGGGTATTGGGCACGCACGCACACATGCCCGGCATGAGTTTAAGCCACTGGGTCCGGGACTCGAACCATGGTCGACTACATGGGAGTCTAGCGACGTAGCCATTACACCATCTGCTGGTCCCCTTTGCCATGTCGTTGTCTTGGGAGTTTTCTGTTCTAGGTGAACTTAGAATCAGTTTATTAAATCCCTTTAGAATAATGATAATCTTTTGATTGGGATTATATTGTTAATTAGAAGATAGTTTCTTTATAACTACTATAATTTTTCTTGGTATCATGATAGCCCTCATTTTATTAGTCTTTTATATTCTTGGATAAGATTTAAAAATTTTTCATAATGGTCTTGCATGTTTCATATTAAGCTTATTTCTAGGTGTTTTTTTACAGATCTTTCATTTTGGTTGGAGATCATTTCTTTTTATTTTTACATAAATGTGGATAAATAAAACATCCAAGTGTCTACTGTGTTCACAATAATGTTTATCATACAGAATTTTTAACATTTATGTGTAGTAAAATGTCTTTCCATATTTTGTCTTGCTTCCTTATTTAAGAACCCTCTCTAAAGTCCTGAGTACATCTTAATAAGTTCTCTATATTAATTCCATATGGATAGTTTCTCTAGTACTTAAAAAAAAAGTTCCTCCTTTCTCTCCTGATTTATAAAGCCATGTTCTATCATTGGTCTGTCCTATTTTAATACAATTATGGGACTGTTTTCTGCTAAATTGGCCTATTTATCTAATTTTACCAAATGCCTGCTGTTTTAATCATCATGAGTTTGTAATTGGTTATCACAGATGGTAGATGATTCCACTCATCTTCCAAAAATGCATTGGTCCTTAGACCTTTGGGCCGTATAAATTTTGGGATCAGCTTATCACATTTGGATTTTGTTGTTCGTGCAATTGTAATGAATGTACAGATTGGGGAGGATTACTTATGATACTGAGTTTCCCATCTGAATGGAGCATATTGTACCATTTATTTATAATTCCTGTGCAGACAATACCATTACATTTTATAATAAGGTCATACACATCTCAGATTTTAGTTTTTGTTGCTATAGTAAATTACTTTCTAAAAATGATATTTTCTAGTTTCTAAGGGTTTATTTCTAACTTACAAGTTGCTTTTTACATAATTGGTCTTGTATCTAGCAACCTTGCCAAGCTCTTACAAGTTGTAATAGTCTATAAATTGTCATGTATAGAAGAGTTATGTCAGTTACAAACAATGTATTTCTTCTATTCCAATTCTTATAGTTTATATATGTAATGTATAAATGGTGAGAGTTGGCATACTTGTCTTGTTCCTGACATTGAAGATGAACTTCTAAAGTTTTACTATTTAACATGCAGTTATTGCTATTTTCCGGTGGGTGGCCCTTACCAGGTTAAGGAAATGCTCTTCCCAGTCCTGAACCCAATACTGAATTTTATTAAATGGTTTTCTTATATCTGTTTATATAATTGTATAGTTTTTCTCCTTTAATATCTCTCTTAGTGTGGTAAAGTACACAGTTAAATTTTCCAACATTAAAATGTTGTTTAGGCTTCCAGTCTCATAATGGCAGTGCGGGTCTTTAGACTATATCCAGGAATCACCCATAACTGGTGATAATTATGAGAGACAAGTCTCCTCCTCCACCCTCCCCTCCAGACACACCAGAAACACAATTAATGTCTCTGGGAATTGTCCTAAAAGGATATAGCAAATTGAAGTAACATTGAAGAAAATCTCAACATTGGTAAGAACAGTGAGAGTCTGTGACAAGAGCCAACCCACTCTCTGTTTCTCTCCCCATCTCAGTATGATGACAGAAACTTTTGTCCTGGTGTGTATAGTCAAGAAAATGGGGCCTCTTCTTCCTCAGCTCCCAGTCACGGGATATAGTGTCTCTGAAGTGTGCCACTATTAAAATGTTCCTGTAACGGATGTATGAGGACAGGAGAGAGACAAAGAACACACTCACAGAAATGATGTCTGAAAACTTCCGTAATGTGTTAAAAACATTCAGGAAGCTCAGTAAACTCCAAGCATCATAAATGCAAAGGGACCTACAGACTCATGATAGCAGAAATGCTGAAGTCAAAGACGAGAAAATCTTGAGTGAAGATGATGCGTCATTGCAAGGGAACTGCAGTAAGGCAAATGACTGACTTCTCAGAAGAAACCATGAAGCCAGAGGCAGGGCTACCATTTGAAGCACTCAAAAACATAACCAAGAATCCTCTGTCCAGGAAAGGAATTCAAAAATGAAAGTGAAATACTTTCCCAGATGAACAAAAAGAAAATTTTTTGCTAATATACCTGCCTAAAAATATTAAAGGAAGTTCAGGCTGAAGGCAAGTGACTTCAAATGTTAATTCAAATCCACACAAAGATTGCCAATGAAAGTAATTATAAAAGGTGTTATAAATGCATATTTTTCTCCTCTCTATAAACTGTTGCAAAGTGCAGTTGTAAAAAAAAAACAATAGGTTGATATTTGAGTTCTGAGTAGCCCCATTCAGGGATTTCGACCACTGAAGAACCCACTACCCACACTTCACTCTCCTGCTCCCCAGACTAGCCAGGAACCAGGATAAGCCAGTCAGCAGCCATCTTTGAGTTCTGAGCAGCCCAAGTGTGCTAGCATGCTTGCTGCACGATTTTAATTTTTTGACAAAATTTTCTTCTCTTGTTTTTTGTTCTCTATCTTTTTTTTTCTATTTCTTTCCTTTTCACCTTTCTCATTTTTTCTTTCTTTTTTTTTTTTTAGAGGTTTTCGCTATAGGGCATGTGCGCTCACCAGAAAGAGACAGAGAGAAAGTGAGACATCACCCCCCCAGGGGGAATGGCTGCACTGCAATCCCTTCTCCATTCTCCTCTCAGGATCTTGGGCATGCAGGCAGATGTGCCTGGTGTGAGTTTAAGCCATCAGGTTCGGGACTCGAACCGTGGTCGACTACATGGAAGTCCAACAACATAGCTGTTATGCCAACTGCTGGTCCCTTATAAAAGGAAGGTTTTTGTTGTTGTTGGTTTTTTTTTTTTTTTTTTTACCTTTTTCACTTCTCTGTTCAGCCTCCACACACTGATTTTCTAGACAAGGTCTTGGTACTCAATAACCAAATATTTTAATACTTTTAGGTTCAGATTAATCCTCAATTTTCATTGAATCAGCTGTGCAAAGAAAGAAAAATGGTATTGTTTACAGACTGCAAGTCACCTCCTGCATTCCTCTGATTGCTCAGATTTAACACCAAAAATAGGAAAAAAAAATCAGATGACTAGAAGCCACTGCAGAGGCACAAGAAATATGAGAAGCCAAGAAAATACTTCTTCTCTAATGGGAAAGAACAACTCCTCTTCCTTCGCAAAGGATACAAGGGAACTCATGGACATCAGATAAAGAATTTAAAATAATCATAGTGTCAAAGCTAACAGAGATGCAAGAGAATAGAGACGACGAACTCCAGAAGATGCAAGAGAAAAGAGAACAAGTTCCATGAGGTGAGGAAGCTCTTGCACGATCTGAAAGAGGAGATACATATCATAAAAAAGAATCAAATGGAACTGTTAGAGATGAAGGCTGTAATACAGGAAATCAAAACTTCTGTTGAAAATATCAAAAGCAGATTAGATCATGCAGAAGACTGAATCTCAGATTTAGAAGATATAATCTCCGATCTAGAGAAATTCACCAAAAAAGACAGAAAATAACCCAAAAAGATGAGAATAACATACGAGTAATACTAGATACCATGAAAGGCCCAAACATCCAGATCATTGGTATCCCAGAAGGTGAAGAAACTATTAAGGGCATTGATAGTTATTTTTTAGATTTAATTTTTAAATTTAATTTTTTAATTATATTCTTTTTCGTTTTTTCCCCTTTTTTAAAAATTTTTTTATACATTCGATCACATTATTTAGCTTACAAAGTGAACATTTCAATATGTGAACATTTCTCCCCAGTCCAGTTGATCAAAATACCTTCAACTGATAACA